TGCTTTCGCACGATATCCTGGAAGTTCTTCAGCAATCTGCTTGGATCCCCTCCATCGGTCTTCATGGTCACACCGGAGTTCATGGAAGTTTGGGCAGCCTCTGCAACAAAGGTGACAGAAGGAAGATGGAACTGACCTTCTAATCCGAAACCACAGTATCTTCCCGAAAGGTTATCGAAAATGACTCACTGCCTAGCCCATAAAAAAAGCCAATTATAACCAAGGTCAGTGGTAATTGACTCTATGAAGCCTCTCTTCTTCTGTTTAGTTATTATAATGACTTTTGTTTTCAGTGCCACTGGCCAACTTTCGCATCTATTTTTTTTTTAAATGTTGCCAGATGGGAACAGCAGATGGCATAATGGTTATGTCGCTGGACTCCCAAGTAGTTGACCATGGTTCAAATTCCAGATCTGGCAGTTTAAAACTTATGCTAGGTGTGTCTGCATGTGTACCCATGATCCCAAGAGGAGAATAGAGAAGGGATTGCAGCATGGCTATTCCCCCTGGGGGAGACTTCTTGCTTTCTGTCTCTCTCTGTCCAGCAAGAGGGCAAACACCCTATAGCAAAAATCTCTTTAAAAAAGAAAAAAAAGAAAAGAAAAATGTTGCCAGAGGGTACTTGCACTCATCAGGAAAGAGACAGAGAGGGAGAAAGAAAGAAACTCCTGGGGCCAGCAGGTGGCATGGTGGTTAAAGATGTGGGACTCCCACATGGCTGACCATGGTTCAAGTCTCAGGCCTGGAAGCTTGCTTTCTCACTTTCTCTCTCTCTCTGGTCAAATCATAACAATAATAACGATAAAGTTAAATAACGTAATTTAAAAAGAAAAAAGTACAAAGCCCCCATGGAGTTTGGTCACGCCACAATCACTTCTTCATTTCTGTCTTTGGGATTTTGGGCCTGTGCACGCACACACGAACTGTGTGGCTGGTCATGTGGGCTCCAACTCCCTTAACCGCCTCCGTGGGCTGGCCCTCCCAGCCAGCCTTAAGGGACACTGCGGCCCATAGCTTTCCAGCTGGTCGGCATGACTTCCCCCAGGCCATCCTACCTCTTGTCTTTGACCCTAATCTCACTTTTCTTCACAGAAAACAATTTTGGCCATATGCATAATTTCTGCTGGTGAAGCTTTTGGGGGGCACTGGGTGCTCTGTGATATAGATTTTAGGTTGCTACCCAAAGACCATCAGTGAGACACATAGCTTGGGAGTCCTAGGACCAGCACTTATTGTAGCAGCACCACTGGTTTTATTTTTTACAGAGGTTTTTTGCTACAGGCCGTGTGTGCTCGTCAGAAAGACAGAGAGACAGAAAGTGAGAAATCACCTCCCAGAGGGATGGCCATGCTGCAATCCCTTCTCCTCCATTCTCTCCTCGGGATCTTGGGCATGCATACATATGCGCCCAGAGTGAGTTTAAGCCACCAGGTCCAGGACTTGAACCGTGGTTGACTACATGGGAGTCCAGCAACATAGCCATTACGCCAACTGCTGGTCCCAAAGCATCACTGTTTTCTACTTTTTATTCTATGTGTTATGGTTTGGATCACGGTTTGTCCCCTAAAGTTTCATGTTTTAGGATTTGATTTTAGTGGGCAGTGACTGGCTATCCCCCAGAAATTCATGTGTTGGGGGACCAGCGTATTGCGTAGTGGTTACATTTCTGGACTCCCATGTAGTCAACTGTGGTTCAAGTCCTGGATCTGGTGGCTTAAAACACTCCAGGCACGTGTGCGTGCGTTCCCAGAATCTCAAGAAGAGAACAGAGAAGGGACTGCGGCATGGCCATCCTCCCTGCGGGGTGATTTCTCACTTTTTCTCTCTGCCTCAGGCCAGCGCACACGCCCTATGGCAAAAATCTCTCTCTCCAAACAAAAAAAGAAATTCATGTGGTGGGACCTGACTGTACTGAGATATTAAGTGAAAACTTAACTCCTTTATCATGGCCAAGGGTTAGGACCCTGAGTATGATGCCATCAGGTGGGGCCTCTGTGATCAAGTTATGGCAGGCATGTGAACAGAACAGCAGAGAGAAAGCCCCGGGGATACAAACCACTCTCTGCTAAAAGTTCTACCCTCTGCCATTTTGTGGCACCCTTGGATTTTCCAGTCACCACAACTGTCAGTTGTTAAATCCTATTTCTTTGTAAATCACCAGCTTTAAGTATTTGTTAACAATGAAATAACGGACGAAGATACTATCAGATGGTGGGAAGGCCCTAAGAGAGGAAGCACAGTTGGTAGTGGCTCAAGACGGCAGTTATTTTCAGCAATTAAATAAGTTACTGTAACAGCCGATCACACCCTCAACACTCACCAGAAAGCCCCACATTTTGCAAGTCCTTTGACTGTCTAATTGGGGACCTTCCTTCCTGGTCCTAAAAGAGGAAGGTGTTTACACAAATACCACCCTCATGGACTGTAATGGGCTGGCCCCGTAGCTCGGTGGCTAAGTGCTGTGCATAGGGAGCAAGGTCCCGTACGGCTCACTGTGGTTCAAGCACAGCCTCGGTGGCTTAGAAACACGCTGGTCATGTGTGCGTGCTCGAAATCCCAACAGGATGGAGAAGTGGAGGGAAAAAAGATGGTGACATCCCAGTGGGGGGGTCCACACACACACACACACTCTCTCTCTCTCTATGGTAAGCATACCTGCCCTCTAACAATATAAAAATGGTGAAACAAAACGACCGCCACAATGATGATAACTCATACACAAATCTGAGGGCCCAAAAGAGCCCAATGACCTCTTCGCTCTCCTGAACGGTTCCCGTTTTCTGTTACCTTTCCTCACGGCGTGCATTTCCTGCACATCCTCCTGAAGCTCGAGACTGGCTCTGCGGAAGACACTGCTGCCCATCTGGCTCATCTGGGCTGCCAGGAACGGGCATTTGCTCGCAGAGCCCTGACTCGTGGCAGGCGAGGGGTGTGCGGCCGGCAGCGCCGGAGTCTGCTGGGATCCATCAGGAGCCTGCTGGACCTCGGCTTTGGCAGTTTTGTCTTCTGAAGGGGGAAATGGAAATAGTGAAGCATCAGATCTGGTGGCACAGAACACAGGGAAACCACCTGTTTCTCCTATAGCCTCAAAGGTAAACTCTGTACCGACTCTGCCCCACAATCCAGACTCAAGCTTATTTTTAATAAATTCTGCTAATCTGTTTTCTCATTTGCCTCACTGGAAACAATGCTCCTGTGAAGAATTAACTGTCATATTCCAGTAACCTTTCAACCCAATAGCATTTCTCCTTATAAGCCCCCAAAAGTACCATTTTCTACCAGTTTTACACAACTCAGACTCCTTGAATTGGATTATTTCTGGTAAATTCAATCCCAAGTATACTCTATATTATTTCACGAGATGGCATTCTAAGGTAATTAAGAATCCATCCTTTTTTCTAATATTTTGTAAACAGATTCTTGACAAAGAAGCCTATTGTTGCTTAATACAAAACTATTGGTTTTCTTCTAAGCAAAAGTAGTTGGCCTAAAATTTAGGGTTTTTTTTAAAGAATTATTTTTATTCATTTTCATTACTTTTTTTTTTTTGAAATTGACCAGAGAGAAACAGAAAGAAGTGAGAAAGCAAGCTGCCAGGTCCGAGACTTGAACCACTGTCAGCCACATGGGAGTCCAGCCGCCTTAACCACCATACCACCTGCCGGCCCCTAAAATTTAGGTCTTCATATTGCTAATCTAACATTGTCCAAATTTTTAGTATGCTAAGGGAGGAAACCACGGGTACTTTCTCACCTCAATTCATCCAAGACAGCGACTGACTTAACACAGCTGGCTGAAATTATCCTTCCAGTTACAACGACTTCCCTCTCCCCTTGAACAAATGCGTCCACTGTCCTTCTAGAAAAATCTTTCTTCATCATTCTGGAATACTCCTGTGTCACAGGCTACCCTTTTCTACAATTTGGGTCAGATGCCTCAATACTGTTTTTTGGTTGGAGAGGTTTTTGCTATAGGGCACGTGCGCTCACCAGAATGACAGAGACAGAGAGACAGAAAGTGAGAAATCACTCCCCAGGGGAGTGGCCACCCCACAATCCCTTCTCCTCCATTTTCCTCTCAGGATCTTGGGCACGCATGCACATGCGCCTGGCGTGAGTTTAAGCCACCGGGTCCAGGACTCGAACCATGATCGACTACGTGGGAGTCCAGCAACATAGCCATTATGCTAACTGCTGGTCCCTCAATACCATTTTATTAAAATTTTTCTAGAAAGGAAAGCCAAAAAGAGTACTTTGAAGTTAATTTCATTCACTTTAAATGTCATAAATGTTCATTATAGAAAGTCTAGAAATAGTGCCCTATCACTAAAAACATACTCATTTCAACATTTGATTAAAAAAGAACTCCCGGGGACCAGCAGGTGGCATGGTGGTTAAGGAGCTAGATATTCCCACGGTGGACCATGGTTCGAGTCCCAGATCTGGTGGCTTGCTTTTTCACTTTCCATCTCTCTCTCTGGTCAAATTAAAATAAATGAATGAATAAATAAAATATTAGATAAATAATTTTTTAAAAATAAAATATATTAACTCCCAAAGATAAATCCTACAAAGGATTAAACCCTTTCTACTTAAAGAGAAAGAATTCCTTTCTCATAAGTCCACACCCAGAGAATGTAATTAAGAGAAGTCTATAAAGTAAAATGTTCTCCAGGATTAAGTGCAATCTGAAAAGCCTCACCCTCTCCTGGCAGAGACCAAGCAAAAGGAAATTCAACTTTGGGCTGGGTCCGTGGCCTGGTGGTTAAAGCAGGTGGATCTGACATGGTCAACATGCACCTCAAGTTCTGGACCCAATGGTTTGAGAAACATGCTGGGTGCATGTGAATGTGTGCTCAAAAGTCCTACAAAAAAGGGACTGCAGTCTGACCGATCCCCACAGAGAGAGCTTTCTCCCTCTTCCTCTGTCTCTGGAGAGTTCACATACTCTCTGGCAAAAATTAAAAAAGAAAAAAAAGTGTATACAAAATAAAGCTGTATGTTAAAAAGTCACTAACAATACATTATTCCATTTATATGTGATATCTAGGAGCGTCAAATACAGACAGACAGAAAGTAGAATGGTAGTTGCCAAGGGCAGAGGGGAGAGAGGAATGGGGGTTATTATCATTTAAAGGACACAGAGTTTCAATTTAGGAAGATGTAAAAAGTTCTGAGGATTGGGACCAGCAATTGGTGTAATGACTATGTCACAGGACTCCCACATAGTCGACCATGGTTCGAGTCCTGGACTCAGTGGCTTATACTCACGCTGGGTGCGTGTGCGTGCGTGCCTAAGACCCCAAGAGGAGAATGAAGGAGAAGGGATTGTGGCATGGCCATCCCCCCTGGGAGGTGATTTCTCACTTTCTGCCTCTCTGTCTTCTGTCTTTCTGGCGAGTGCATGTGTCCTACAGCACCCCCCAAAAAAAGAAAAAAAGAAAAAAAAGTTTTGAGGATGGACAGTAGGGGTGTGCAATAGCATGAATGTACTTAACACTGCTGAACTGTACACTTGAAAACAGTTACAATGGTAAATCTTATGTGCATTTTACCACAATAAAAACAAATTAGGGACACAAGAGATTTAGGCAACTGGATCCCACGTGGCTGACTGCACGGTTCCAGAGCGAGCAGCTTGAAAGACATATGGGGGTGGGATGGGACCAGCAGATAAAGTATTGGTTATGTCGTTGGATTCCCATGTAGTTGACCGTGGTTTGAGTCCTGGACCTGGTGGCTTCAAACTCACACCAGGCACGGGTACGTGTGTGCCCAACGTTCTAAGAGAAGAATGGGGGAGAAAGGATTGTGGCATGGCCATCCCCCCTCATGCTCCAGGGGGTGATTTCTCGCTTTCTGTCTCTCTCTGTCTCTCCAGTGAGCGCATACACCCTATAGTGAAAATCTCTCTTAAAAAAAGAAAAGAAAAACACACTGTGTGCATGTGTGCCCAAAATCCCTGGGGAAAAAAATGGAGGAGAAGGGATTGTGGGTTGATTTTTCACTTTCCCTTTCTGCCTCTTTTTGGCAAGCACATGTGTCCTATAGGAAACAAATAAAAAATGTATTAAAAAAAATTTTTTTTAAATCACTATTTCAAAAGCCAAGGGGTAAAGACGTAAAGAGAGAAAGGTCGGAATAAAATGTATCAATCTAATACTTATGTGAACGAGCCACCGAGGAAACGTCAAAATGCCAACAGACACTGATGTGCAACCCAGAAATTCGTAGCGTGGAGCAATGGCCACCGTGCCATTAACGACGGGAAAACCAAAAGAGCCTACCTTGCGGAGTTAGGGGCGACACGGACAGGAGACAGCCATGAACAGAGCTGAGCCCACCACAGAGTAACTCCTCAGACAGTGCGACCCTCACCACCGCTGGGACTGGAACTACACAAATCCCCCACTGAGCTTTCACTGCCAAGGACACTCACTCTCATTGGCTGGAGGGGTCTCCTTGATCTGCTGACAGTGTACTGTTGAAGTGGACAAGGCCCGGGGGGCTGGCTTGGCCCCAACTTCCATCATCTTGGGGCAGTTTTGGGCATAGAACAACAGAGATTTGCCTGCCTTCTGCAGAAAGGCCTGGGGCACTCGGGATAAGAATGGGCATCGGCGAACCACAGTCTCCATGTCCGGGAAGCTCACTGGCTCCTGTAGAAAGATTGGTGATGAGTGACATCAACACTTGTTAATAAACAGCAAATGCCACTGCAAGGTCACTGGCGTCACCAGCAGCTTATACTAAAAGGTACTTTCAGGGTATCCTGAAAGACTAACATGTCTCACTCCCAGAGTCTAAGGACAGCCCTGGTGGGGCTCAACCAAGGAGGCTCTGCAGGCCACCACCCTAATTCCCCAGCGCTACACAAAAACCACCTGTGAGGTGACTTCACTGAATGAAGGAAGTTCTGGTAACCAAGGAGTGGAAGGATGAGGGACAAGTCAGGAACAGGTCTGGGAGGCCACCGGCTCCTTGCAGGAGATAAGACACCTCGCACACACCCGGGAGGAGACGAGAGGCCAAAGAAGCTACTGTCACCCATGCAGGCAAGCATGACTCTTGGGGTTCCTGACCTTCTGGTTCCTACACTCCCAAATTCTTGCCCTGAGTCCCAGAGGCAAGGATTTCCCCGGGGACATGTCCAGTCCTAGGAGCATAAAGGGCAGGGTGTGTGGGCAAGTGTCTCAGGGTTAACTGAGGGCCAGGCAAGGGCCATAAAATCGAGAGTCGGGTCTGAAGAGAGAGATGGTCCTCGGCTGTGGGGGGGATCAGAGGTTACCCGGGGTCAAGTGCATGAGAACTAGAGGGTGTGAGAAAGGGATTCTAAAGTTGCGGCTTCGGGCGGGGGTTGAGGGGAGGTGATCGCTGACCCCAAGAGGCAGATGTCTGTGACGGTGGGGGATGGGGTCTGAAGGGCGGAGGTGCGGGGCCCGAGCTGGCAGGACGCGCGGGGGGCTACCCCGGCCGGCGCCTCACCCACAGCGCGGGCTCTCACCTGCGCGGAGGATCGTGCGGAGTTGGAGTTGGAGGCGGAGGCGACGGCGACGGCGACACCAGGCAAGAGGGCCAAGAAGTCCAGACGAACAGTTGCCCTTGTCTGCAAGCAGCCTCAGGCCGCGACCGCCGGCGCCCTAATATACAGCGGGAATGAGCGCTGCGCATGCGCTGTGGGCGCGGCCCTACCCAGCGCAGGCGCGTTTCGCTCCGGGAGCCGGGAGGACGCGAGGCCCACCCACGTAAGATCGGAGGGTGCGGGCGGGACCCGCGGGATGGACGGCGTGGGGGGCGGGTCTTCTTCGGACCTCGCTGTGCGCCGCGTTGCAGTCTTCCCACTACCACCCCTTTGCTTTAGAACCCTTGGCCCCCATCGTGGGAAATTAAAGGGCGAGATCTGAGGCGAAGTGCCTGGAAGGCCAACTGGGGTTGTTAGAGGGCTGTAAAAATGGGTGTCTTGGGGAAAGGGGGGGCTACAAGGCGTTTGGGGCCAGGGGTTTAAGCAGGACCCACCCTTTTAGGGGCTTGCTTTCCTGGCTGTGATCAAGGGCTTCCCGGAGGAGGCACGGTTGAGGCTTGGTCACCCAAAGATAGGGGGACCCCCCCACACCCCTCCCGGAATGAGAAGGAAAGAGGAGGAAGGAACAAAATGGAAGCAGACCCAACTGTAGCACTCTGGGTCCGTAGAGGGGACAGAGGACCAGGGCTGGATGAAAGCCGTCCCCTCTACAGCTCTGAGCTCCCTGCCCGGAGATGAAAGTACACGTTTGACTCATGGTTACGGCCTACACTTGTCAGCTCATATTTTTGTTTTCCATTGATAGTTGTCCAAAGTCCCTTGATGGCTACCCTGGGCACCAGCTGAGTGGCTTGGGACTCCATCCCAGAGTTCAGAATTGAACCATGCCTCCTCTTGATTCTCCCTAAGACCACACCTAAAGGGTAGGGCTTGGCAAACCCCTCTCAGGAACGCCAGCCTGGCCTCCTTGCTCCACACCCTTCCCAGTTCAGCCTGGGCCAGTCTGGGCTGGGCCTGTGCCAGGCTGAGAGCTGCCCTCCTCTGCTCTTGGAGAAAGGGCCACTCAAGCTGCTCCTTCTCTCTCTGGGCAATGGGACCATAACCCTGTTCTACCTGCCCAGTAATCAGAGGCAGAACAGAAAGAACTAGATGTGGGTTCTGATCTTGGCCCTGAGTCTTACTTGGCCATGGCTTTGGGCGAACCACAACCTCTCTGAGGCTCAGTCTCCTCATCTGTAGAATTCTGCCAGCCCTGCCACTTGTGGTTGCCAGGAGGGTTAGGTGAAATCATTTATTGTTTAAACCAACAAGTCTCCAGCCCTCTGGGAGTTTCCTGTTTAATAGAAATGTTGGGAAACAACACATATTCACACGGAAAGTGAAATAGGATGTTGTAAGAATTCCAGATGAGGAGGAGGCTATTACTCCAGCAGGCACGGAAGGAGGGGGATTCCCAGCCACCAGGAAGGCTTCCAGGAGAGAAGTGAGTGCTCGCCGGAAGGGTAGCTCTATATAGCACCGAGAGAGCGCTGGTAAAGCCTTGACCGAAAGGCCCAGGCCTGCTGGGGTGTGGGGTGGAGGTCAGCAGAAGTCAGCCTGAAGAGCTGGACTGCAGACTGACCCAGGATGTCTGACCAGCGAGACCGTGAATGAGCCACAGAGCTTCACAGTGTCAGGGCCCAAAGAGCCATGACCAGGTACCCAGCACTGCACAGAGGCGAGTCACATGGGCCCAAGACTACTGACTCATGAAGTTTGTTTTGTTTTGTTTTTGAGAGATTTTTGCTATCAGGTGTGTGCACTCACCAGAGTGACAGAGACAGAGAGACAGAAAGTGAGAAATTACTCCCCTGGGGGGGATGGCCATGCCACAGTTCATTCTCTTTTTGGGATTTGGGGCATGCACACACACACACACACACACACACACACACACACATGCAGTGTTTCAAGTTGCCATGTCCAGGACTCAAACCACAGTTGGCTACAAGGGAATTCAACGCCTTCACCGCCATGTCACCTGCTGGCCCCCTACCATGAAGTTTTAAACTTCTACAATGTTGTCAGTAGATCAACCTAATGGAAACCGGAAGAGCAACAGTCACTCTGAAAAGTCAGAAAATAGGGAACCAGCAGTTAGCGTAATGGCTATGTCGCTGGACTCCCACGTAGTCGACCGTGGTTCGCGTCCCGGACCCGGTGGCTTAAAACTCACGCCGGGCGCGTGTGCGTGCGTGCCCAAGATCCTGAGAGGAGAATGGAGGAGAAGGGGTTGCGGCGTGACCATCCCCCCTGGGGGGTGATTTCTCGCTTTCTGTCTCTATGTCTCTCTCTGTCTGTCTGGTGAGCGCACGCGCCCTATAGCAAAAACCTCTCCAAAAAAAAAAAAGTCAGAAAATAGTCCATGTTCTAAAAATCTGTTCTCGCACTGACCAAAAAGTGTGCTATGTAAAAATACGATGCCTCTTGTCACCAGCAGCCATGACCACGTTAGAATGATCCAGTTCACTGCACGTTGAAGCCCAGTTTCTGGCCCAGTGCTGTTCGGGTTACTTTGCTTTCTCTGGGAGACCACAGATAACAGGACATAAACATTAAAGTCTAACTTCCACTTGCCTATCACGTTATCAGCAGGACTCTAGATACGGATAGCAGCGAACAATCATGGGAACTTAATGAATAACTTCATAAATACTAAAATATAATAACAAGTATCAAGGCCCCCCCTCTGCTTGTGAGTTTTGAAAGTGTTCTGTTTATTTCCAGGGATACCATTTAATTTGATGGTATGATTTCACTCTACGCAGTCTATTCTTTCTCAGTTTTCAGCCCCATATTGTTCTTTGTTATTGCCAGAATGGGTAAATCACTTTTTTTTTTTAAAGAGTGAGAGAAAGAAAGGGAAAATGATAAAGCAAGCCCCCAGGTCTGGGGCTCAAACCACAGTGGACCACGTGGGAGGCCAATACTCTTATCTACCGCGCCACCTGCCGGCCCCTAATTTTAAATAGAACTGTATCTTCCCCCTCTTATAAGAAGGAGGTGCTGCGCAAGAGCATTGCAATGTTCTTCATAGTAAACTTGTGAACAAAATGCATATTCCTGGACCGTGCTCTTTTAATTCTGACCCAGAAATCTGCTTTTTAAGGTTTTTGCCATAAGGTGTGTGTGCTCACCAGAGACAGAAAGAGGCAGCTGAGAGGGGGGCGGATGGCCACACCATAATCCCCTCTTCTCCGTTCTCCTCCTAAGATTTTGGGCATGGACGCACATGTGTTCAGCCTGAGTTTCAATCCACCAGGTCCAGGAGACGTACTATGGTCCACCATGTGGGAATCCAGTGCCTTAAATGCCACCTGCTGGCCCTGGAAGCTACCTTTTAACCAGACCACCCTCCTGATGATGTAAGAGTGGGTACCTTGGGGCCACCTTTTGGGATATGCTGCCTGAGTTTTTCAGGGTCTGCCATGAGTGCTAATCCTGCCTCTGCCACCTGACTCAGCTAAACCTCAGTGTTTGCTGTCGTTTTGGTTTTAATTTACTAGGAGGTTTGTGCACTTGCCAGAGAGAGGCAGGAGAGGGAGAGGGAGAAAGCATCCCTTCGATGGGGTGTGGTCACGCCGCAATCCCCTCTCCACCACCTCTATGCCATTGGGGATATTGGGCATGCACACACACCTGGTGTGCCCTTCAATCTGCCAGCGCCTCAAACAGCTATTTGGGATCCAGCTCCTTCAACCACCAGGCCAGATTTTGTATGTGTCAAGTGGGAGTTACCCCACATGCCTTGGGGGTGAGTCCAGGGGGCCCTGTTCTGGCCCACTTGTGACCTCTCTCCTGGGTGCTTCTTCCCTTCTTCCCCCTCCCTCCTCCTTTCTTCTCCCCACCTCCTTCCTTTCCCTCTCTCCCCTCTCTTTTCCCTTGCTCCTTATTTCCCCTCTCCTTTCCCTTCTTTCCCCCCTCAGAGCTGCAGTATAAACTCATCTTATTGCCTGGCCTGGCCCAAACTGCTGGAGTTCAGGCTAGGTCAGGCCCCATAATGGAGATGACGCTGGGGCTTCCTCTCCCTCCCACCTGGTCTGCAGTCTGCGTCAGGCCTGCGTCACTGACCCAGTCACGGTCATGGTCGTTCGGGGGCTGCTGCACACAACACCTGCCAGCAGTCAAGGCAGAAGGAAAATGTCAACCCTGGCCCCGGATTCCCCCTTCCCACTCTGGGCCCCAGGAGCTGCTTTTAGCAGTGCCCTTTCGTGAGGGTCAAATCACTCAACTCGAGTAAGTTCACTGCTTCCTCTGGGCCTCAGTTTCCGTAGCTGTCAGCCCGGCAAGAAGTCCTGCCAGCCTCCACTTGGGGAGAGGGGGTGGAAGTAGGACAGCACTGAGAGTGGGCAGAACCTCCAGCCTGTGCTGCTGTGCTCAGAGTGGCCTTGGGTAGGGCTGCTCTTGCAAGGTGTAGGTGGCCTCGCAGAACTGCTAGTGGTTCTGGGAACAGCCCAGTTGTGCCGTGGAGGGTTGGCGGTGTGAGCTCCAGGAGCCATCGTGTGAGATGGGATTTTGGGGTTGGAAGGTTCTGCGACTTTCAGTACCTGCCTTTGAAACCCGTCAGGCCCTCCTGGGACAGCCCTGGAGTAGTAACCCAGGCCTGAGGCTAGGTTTGTGGATCCAGCTGCAGAGAAAAGGTGGGCTCTGATTGGTAAGAGGAGAGAGAGGGGAAAAGCTATTAAATCTTAGGCCCAGCAGGTGGTGTAATGGTTACGTCTCTGGACTTTCATGTAGTCGACTGCAGTTTGAGTCCCAGTCCCGGTAGCTTCAAGCTCACACCAGGCTTATGTGTGTGCGTGCCCAAAATCCCCAGAGGAGAATGGAGGAGAAGAGATTATGGCGTGGTCATCCCCTCTGGTGGGGTGATTTCTCACTTTCTGTCTCTCTGGCACGTGCATGCACCCTATAGTAAAAATCTCTCTTAAAAAAAAAAAAGAGTTTAAGAGGGCAGGTCTGGGTGGGATTCCCTGGGAATAACAGCCCCATCCTACAGAGAAGAAAATGCCCAGGGTCCCAGACAAGTTCTGTCTGGCCCACATGGTGCTTGTTTTTTAAAAATGAATTAGTTATCAACATT